AACTACCCCCCTCCCCCCAGGCGTGTCCCTTTGCGTGTCTCTGAAAACGCAGAAGCACAAACCAGGCTTTAGTGTGTTAAATCAGCGCTTGTGACAGTTAAATAGTAAATTAGTTAATTCAACGTGAAACTAATTCATTTCTTAACTATTAAACTATTACTAATCAGCTGACACGTTGCAGGCGCTGTGATTGGTCGGTGAAGAGGAGAAGCTCCTCCCCATTGTCGAAGGCCGACCGATGGCGGCGGAGGAACTGATCCAGGACCGCGACGACGTCCGTCCCCACGTGGAGGCGGACGTGACCGCGGAGCATCCCGACGCGCCTCTGAGGTCGGCCAACGGCAACCCCAGTCGCCACGCCTCCACGCCGCCGGCTGACTCCGCCCCCGAGGAGCCGCCGGAGTGCGGCAAGCTGAGCAGCCTGTTCAAGCAGAACCAGCTGATCCACTCGCTGAGCAGCGGGCTGCGGCGCCACTGCGACTACGTGAAGATCGCCGTGCCGGAGGAGCGCGGCGACTCGCTGCCCGCCGAGTGGTGGAAGACGGGCGTGGCTTTCCTCTACGCGCTCTTCGTCCTGGTCTTCACCACCGTCATCATCACCGTGGTGCACGAGCGGGTGCCGGACAAGTCGGTGAGTCCGCCGCTGCCCGACAAGTTCTTCGACTACGTGGACCGCGCGGCGTGGGCCTTCACCGTCACCGAGGTCAACGGCCTCATCCTCTGCGGCCTGTGGCTCGTCCAGCTGCTCTTCCTCAAGCACAAGTACGCTACGGGGGTCTTGTACAGTAGCTCATTCATATGATACGTATGTGAACATACTGTGTACATGTACTTGTACTGTGTACTTGTACTTGTCTGACAGAGCCATCGTTGGCCGTCGCTGCTTCTTCCTCATCGGGACTCTCTACATGTATCGCTGTGTCACCATGTACATCACCACCCTGCCGGTGCCGGGCAAGCACATGGTGTGCGCTCCAAAGGTACAAGTACTCACCAGGTACTCACCAAGTACTCACGCTTACTGCGTGTACTCGGGCCTCCCGTGGAGTAAATGTGTGTTCCGTGTTGTCGTCTCTCTGCAGCTGTACAACGACTCCACGGGGAAGATCTGGAGGATCCTGGGGATGATCTCAGGAGGAGGTAACCAATGAACATCTGTGTCCAACAGCGGAGATCCTGCTCTCTGATTGGCTGAAAGCCACCCAAGCTAATCGTAGCTTCATTAAACCATTTAGAAATGGGCGGGAAATGTGATTTTTACTCTTAGACCACCAAACATTGTTATCTGTGAATTAATATTATATTTTGGGTGCAAATAACCGCTTGTCAACCTGTCAGCTAGCTTGTGAAGTAGCCGTGGCTAGGCTAAGCTAAGCTAAGACCAAAGCTTAAGACTAAAAGCTGTGTTTAAAATGTTCCATTTTGTACATGAATAATGTTCTTGTGTAGCTGCTTCCTCTTTGGACCTGCTGTCACTTTGTTACTTGTTCGTTAGTGCACTTTATGCTTAATATTTTTCTTTTTAAATATTTAAAATGTTTTACTTTATTCCCTTGTTTTATACTAACCCATAGCCTTATTCTACTAACCCATTGCATTAGCATTTCATTCCACTTTATTTTATTACTTGTGCACTGTTGTCTTGTCTGTCTACTGTCGCGCACTAACAAATTCCTTGTATGTTTGACATATTTTGGTAATAAATGTTTCCTGATCCTGATTCCTGATTCACACCTTGTTGTTGTTGTTGTGGTTCAGGTCTGTCTCTGACCGGGTCCCACCTGATGTGTGGTGACTTCCTGTACAGCGGTCACACCGTCATGTTGACGCTCTCCTACCTCTTCATCAAGGAGTGTGAGTACAGAATCATCCATCTATAGATCTAAAGATTTGACATTACGGTCTTTATTTGTGTAAAATATTTTAATTTAAATTGCTTTTATTTTTATCACATTTTTATTAAAAAAATGCATTTAGTGA